GTGTGTGTGTGTGTGTGTGTGTGTGTGTGTGTGTGTATGTATGTGCGTGTGTGAAGAAGGAAGTGAGCGTATAAAACCATTAGTGATTGATCTCTTTGACCATCAATAATACAACAGTAAAACTCACTTTAGCTTTCTCGATGACATTTGAGAACTCTCCGATCCAGACGAAGCAGTGCTCCGGAGYGACTAGCACAAAACTGTCCCCGCTGTTCAAAGATGAGGCTCTGGGCTCCACCAATCTGCTCTGAACGTGACGACGACCTGCCGGTGACAATTTTACTCCAAAATTCATACGTGCAGAAATGAGCCATTTTAGCATCAGTTAAGAGAAACAACTGAACAATTAAGAAGAATTGAATTGAGACCATGAAACATCGCATAGTGAGTCTTGCAAAGATCTGGATTTAAAATTTTAAAAATGACCTTTTGAAAAAACAGTATTGTACGGGTAACAGTATCATATCGGTAACAGTATTGGTATGGGTACTGGTAACAGTATCAGTAACAGGTTCGGTATGGTATCGACAACAGTTTATGTATCTGTAATAGTATTGCAACAGTATCGGTAACAGTATTGGTACCATTATTGGTATTGATACCAGTATCGGTATTGGATTGGTATCAGTATTGATATTGGTAACAATATCTGTACCATATTGGTAACAGTATTGATATGGTATCGACAACTACTGTTACCTGTAACAGTATCTGTATCTGTATTGGTACCAATATCGGTATTGGTATCAGTTTTAGTATCGGTACTGGTAACAGTATTGGTATAGTATCATTAACAATATCAGTATGGCATTGACAACAGTATGACAATAAAGGCTTTCATCATCATCATCATCATTGATACCTGTAACAGTATCGGTACCAGTATTGGTATTGGTAACAATATCGGTATCATATTGGTAACAGTATTGGTATGGTATCGACAACAGTACTGTTATCTGTAACAGTATCTGTATCGGTATTGGTACCAGTATTGGTATTGGTAACAGTATCTGTATGGTATCAGTAACAGTATTGGTATTGATAACAGTATCAGTATCGGTATTGGTACCAGTATCTTGTATTGGAAACAGTATCGTATGGTACTGGTAACAATGTCAGTAGCATATTGGTAACCATATCTGAAACTGTTTCAGCATGGTATCTGTAACAGTACCGTATCGGGACACCACTAGTTAAAATTACTAGCCACAAATGAAGCAAAACTCATTATTGTTTAGTTGGTTGTTTCCTTATTAAACCATTGTTTATATTATTATTTATAGAAATGTTTGAATAACTCATGTATCAAATCTCTACCACCATTATTTTTAATTTTTTTTTTGTAAATGAGAAGTTGAAAAGTTGAAAACAAAACCCTGTTTTACAGAGGAGATTTGTAAGAATAAAAGCATTTTAAAATTTTGACAGATCAGGTAAATATGTAGCTATAGTTAGCTTAGCTTACGAGAATGTTATTTAAAATGAGAATATGGTCATTTTTACGATTTGAAAGTAAAGTAAGTCTCAGAAAACATCAGAGGTGATCATGTTAAACCTAAAAAAAAAAGAGTTTTTACCTTTGACCTGAATGAGCATGAGGTTTTTATACGGCACGGCGCTGTTGTTGGAGGTTTGCTCCGACACGTTGACGCTGCGCAGACTCACGCTGCTGAAACACTCCTTACTGGCGAGCCCTGCCAGAGCCGCCTCAGAGTACTCTGAGGTTTTACTTACTGGAGTGAGGAAAAGAAGGCACTTTGTCAGAGTAAAAACCAACAGGGGGGCTGAGAAACARCATAAATGCTTCGTTAAATTTAATGGGCTCCCAACTGTAAATGCTGCTGTGGAAGTGGGTTTGAAAAWTTTTTTACTTGACTTTATTTATTTGTGGAGATTAATGTGGTTTTGTAATGTTTCTTGTTTTCCACTGGGATTTATTTGGTCATTTGGTCCTTACACTCTCTCGTTTCCGCCTTCATCCTCTTGCTCTCCAGCTGCGCTACATTAAGTCTTTCTTCGGTGTACTCGTGYCGGATATCCTCTCGTGCCGCCAGCATCTTCAGAGGATTTCTAGATGCCTGGACGTTTCTGGATGGACGCACCGAGCGCTTATGCAGCACCATGGCAGAAGTGAGCCTGTAGGTCGGGAGCAAAATGTATCAAGATATAACACTTTGTATTGTTGCAAAGGCGTTTCAAGTTGCAGTATTTTCTTACTTCGGACCCTCGGAACCGAATATGGAGTCAAAGTCTTCGCTGATCTCGATCCTGGTCGGCATCCGAGGGAATTCAGCCAGTCGTCTGTAGAACTTGGAGAAGATCTCGTCGTCCAGCTTCATCACCTCCTTCACTGCTTTCTCAGTCACTGTTATGGTGGTTTCCTGCAAACCTGCCACTGAACGAATCACGGGAAAATACAGACTACAGTTAGCAGACAGGTTTATGAATGGACAATAAAAAAATGAGAAATGTAAAATAAAAGGCTGATGCATGCTCATAAATCTTACCTATGTGACCCATCATATCGAAATGAGGATTAAGTCAAATTTGGTCAAAATGTCCTAATTACGTTGTCAGATTCCTGCTTTAAAAGCTACATTTGATATTTGGATCATCCTGATATCATAAGCAGAGATATGACTTCATTTCTCTTGTTGGTTACAACGATCCTAATTTTTGATATTACTACTGTATACYAAAAGGAAACCTCAAATAGTATTTGATTTTTTTTAGGATTATATTTCAGACATTCAAATTATACAGCAATAAAGGATGTATTTAATTGATTTTTGAAATAATGCAATTTTTGCAAATGTTTTAATCAAAACACACCTGCCTATTTCTCCACATCCCACTTTTATACTTAATCCTCATTTCGATACGATGGATCACATATATATTTTTAATTTTTTCTGAAGCTCATGCTGAAGGGGAGATTTGAAAGACCCCAATCTGTAAAAAGCTGCAGAAAAAAGCTGAATACATCGCAAAAAATGTCCATCTAATCAAGTCTTTTATCCAACCAAAAAGTATTTTTGATCTTGTTTTGAGACCAATGTGCCAAGCAAGAGCAGAATGTGTTCATTTGAGAAGACCTGGACTCAAATTAAGTGAAACTAGAGAAATTGAATTTCCTGCGAAAATGCTAGTGTGAATACTTCTTGCAGCTGAAAGCTGTTGAAATTGAGCTGAAAGTATTTAATAGCAAAAGTGTTAATGCAAGTTCAATTTGAAAAGCTGAATGAAGCAAAAAAAGCCTAACTTTGCAGAAAAACAGTACAAAGGAGCAAAATATAGTTGAAATAGCAGAAAACAGCTGAAAGCTAAAATAGCTAAAAAAAAAAAAGGTAGCTAAAATTAGCACAAGAAAGTAAAAAAGAGCAGAACCAGAACAAAATTTGTAAGGTTCTGTAAAGAAAACAGCTCCATTCATTTTCAATGGGAAAAAAGTGGCTGAAACAGTGAAAGAGCTGAAAAGGTATAAATAGCTGAAATACCAAACGTCACAGCACCATTGGCATAAATGAGCTGACCGCTTTGATATATAAATTGKTGAAATAGCTCAAAAATTGCGGAACGAGTTAGATGCCGAAAAACGTACGGAAGAAAAAAAATAATCTCAATAGTATGAATGCTGTGAAGCTTTCACACAATCACCTACCAGTGCACTTCTCGAAACAAGGAAAATTTCCAGGCTAACAAGATGAATAATTGAACACATCCCACTCTTGTTGAGTACATCAGTCTCAAAACAAGATCAAGAATTCGTTTTTGCTGATTTAAGGTTGTAAAACTTGGTTAGATGGACAGTTTTTGTAGTGTGGTAACAAGCAGCACTAATATCTTTTGGTATAAAAGTGTAATAATTATAGAGCTTATGGAAGTACCTTTGCTGTTCAAACGTCCCAAAAAGCTCTCCAACTTGTCCAGTTTCTTATCTGACTCCATGTCTGGCCTGGCTTCAATATCTATACACGGAAATTGATAAAGCTGAATTCATTTGGTTTATTTGTAATAAAGTTGTACTGTTATTTGTTGTTCCTTTGTAATCATCGTCCCTTCTAAATTTGCTTATTTTCGTTTTTAGCTTCTTATTTTAGGTTTAGTTGCAGGAAGCAGTGACACCTAGTGGTATAGTTGCAAAATGCAACCAATTAAAGGTGCAATTCAAGCCTGGCATTACTTGATGTGAGTCCCACATTCAGTCATTTTCCATTGATTTATATATTAGAAATGCTGCATTTACTACATTTTTACTCAGAAAAACAAAATTCACTTTGAAGAAACTAGTGTGGGAAAACGTCTGTATGAGATCTGTTTGTTTTAGCTGAAGTGGCAGCGATGACATAAGAGCTGCAAATCCTTCTCACCCTCTTGTGGTTTGCTGACAGCAGCCGTGCTGCTCTTGAGTTTAGTGGAAACTGGCGACAGGATGGGGCTGATAACTGAGGAGGAGGCAGCCAGGCCTGGAGACGCAGAAATTCACACCAGATAAGACTGACTGTGAAGACGGACTGCACCGAAACGATGCAGAGGAAGCTCATTTGACAGCATACAGGTCGGGTAGTTAAAAACAAAATAGAGAGATGGGCTTTGTTTACAATCAAAACATTCAAACTGATGATCAGTTCTCAAAATGTTACGGAGSTATAATCTGTTTGGTTCACAGGTTGTGCAAATATTGTGTTTTATTAAAAAAAAAACACTTCTCTACGAAGCCCGTCTGGTGACATTGATAAAAAAAAACAATAAAACCCTGTGGCCATTATTTGCATGCAGAGACTGTTGATTGTTTACATGGACAAACCTGAATTAATTATTTTTTAATATAGGAATGAATGACGTACTTCAGTCACTTATGTTAGGCATGAAGTAATTCTTAGCAGCTGTTGACGGGAGTTGTCTTTGTCCAATAGGCTTCATTTTTTATTTTTTTTTTTATTTATTTATTTATTTTGTAGCTCAACACTCAGAACAGGCTCTTCTCTCACTGGAAAGAGTCAAAAATCGTGTTTCCATCCAATTTTAATGCAAATTTTGAGTGAGTTTTGAAAAGCGATCCACGATTAGTTGTAACATTAGACAATTTTGTACGGAAGAGATATTAACCGAAAATAAGTGAACTCGTGAAAATTTCCTTATAATTTTTTGTTATAAGAAGAGGAGGAGAAGAAGGTAGAAATGACTCAGCCTGCAACTGAAAATATGGATGGAGGACAACAGAGCTGCTTCATGGAAGAAGAACCTCAGCTTAGTCTGTTAGCCTTTGCCCTAACGCAGCTGCTATCACCATATATATATATATTAGCTCAGCGCTACACATTCTCCTCTCGTCATGAGGTCCTCCATCCACATGACAGAGAGGGAAACACAAAAATGACTCAGTCTGCAACTGAAAATATGGATGGAGGACCTCAGTTTAGCTCGTTTGTCGTGCTTGCGCTAAGCTAATACATATAGCGTCGGCGCTAGCGCAAAGGCTAACAGGCTAAGCTGAGGTTCTTCTTCCACGAAGCAGCTTCCATCCATATTTTCAGTTGCAGCTGAGTCATTTTTGTGTTCCCCTCTCTGTCATGTGGATGGAGGACCTCAGTGACGAGAGGAGAATGTGTAGCACTGAGCTAATACATATATGGTGATAGCATCGGTGCTAACGCTAAAGCTAACAGGCTAAGCTGAGGTTGTTCTTCCATGAAGCAGCTCTGTTGTCCTCCATCCATATTTTCAGTTCCAGGCTGAGTCATTTCTACCTTCTCCTCTCTGTCAACGCTCTCTGGTTTCATTTAAAAGAGTCGATCATCAGATATTGTCCAAGATTAACCTTCAGGGTGGATATAGCTCGCTCACACCGAGGACCTATCCACGTCATCATTTACCCAGAATGCTTTGTGTGTAAATAAAATGGCTCCGTCCGTGTTAAAAATATATTTTAAAAATTTACAAAACTAAACAGCCTACAGTGTTTTTACAGTCTTTATGTTACAGTTAAAATAAATGTTTGTCAAAGTCTTATGTTACAACTAATTGTGGATCCCTTTAAAATGTCATTTAAAAAAAAGAAACGCGCATCAAACGTGTTTCCATCAACTGGCTTGGAGCGAACCAACCAGACTACACAAAGTGTGATGATGTCAGACGTTGTTACACGTGGTTTTAGGAAACAGGAAGAAAAGTCACAAACTCACAGGGACACGGCTCGGATGGAGAGAAGTTAGGAACACGTTGCTACTATCGAGAAAGTCGTAATTATTCTGTCGTGCCAGCTAGTGTTCATGATGTTAGGAGACGTAGTTAAAGAAATGCAAATCTCTTCACATTTCGGGAATATTCTGGAAGACGCCGACAGCGGGGGGAGGGTCCAGCTGCAGCTACGATTAATGTTCACTATGTCAACTTAATCAGCAAATGTGTTACCATCCCCCCTTTTTGCACAGTAGCTCTTTATCAGAAAATTAAAACAAGCCATGCATTATTTATCTCATGGCCACAATATGCAGTTTTTTTATTCAGTGTCACCGGACGGGCTCTGTAGTCTAATACTTCAAAAACAATTAAGTATTTTAGTGACAGTAAAGTTTGTGGTTCCCAGGTTTTTGTTGACCATCAGCTTTTAGTTGTTTTTTTAAACAATTAACTCACCTTTCTTCACCAAACGTGCAGCGACTGTGTACTGTGTGGAGTCATTAGCTGCTCCTTTGCCTTTTGTCTTCCAGGCGTCCTCCCGTGTTGAAATCATCTGTTTCCTCTCTTCGATGGTCATCTGGGCTTCCGTCTCCTCTCCAACCTTCTGCACATTCAAATGATGAGAAATTAGCGCGAAAGCGAATAAATAATAATTGTGGCAAGTTTAAATCGTGCGTTAATCTTTTTCATAAATCACATCCATACTACTGCATCCGCTCTACAACTCAGTGTCACAACTTTTCTTCCCTCAGGCACAGATATTCATGTAGCATCAAATCGAGTCAATTTAAAGAAGATTGGATGCATCCAGGCATGCGAGGTGCTTCGCGGCCTTCTTCATTCCTCAGAATGACAGCTTCACGTCGACTTGTACTCGTGTTGTCGTCGCCGACACACAAGAAGCTGCAAAACCGAGCAAGAAAGAGGAGCCTCCAGTTCATGCTGCCCGTTTGAGCATGTCAGGCGCACGTCCTTACCTGACAATGATGGTCTATATACTGACACTTTTGGCCGAGGGAGATAGGAGGAGAAAAGGTGGAGGAGAAGACAGGCTCCTGAGGACGTGGATGCAAAAGTGAAAGAGAGGAAAGGAATGAAGGAAACACAAGAAAACATTGAAACAAAATGGGACGAGACACAGGATGGAGAAAGCCAAGGCCAAAAGCTGAGCAGTTAAAAATAAGTTTAAATGGCTTTACTTGTAACTGAATTCGTTTGGTTAGTTTAATATTAAAAGAGTTAGCAAATGTTAGGAAAGAACCAGCACCTAAGATAAATCTAGGACCACAGCCACACAAGGGTTGTGATTGGTCAGCACGGTTACAGCTCAAAGCTGATTGGCTTAGAGCTGCCAGCAGGTCTTACCCAGAGCTGCTCAGACACAGACACAGCAGAGGGGTCCTGAACGACCACCCCTTCCTCCTGAGGGGTTAAACACAAGGAAAGGACTCAGTCGGGGGGAGAAGGGGGGTGGC